CTTCTGCTCTTTCTTCAATTGATATTCTCATTACATGTAAATTAGTTACATTCTTTGTAGATATCCCACAGTATTTGGATAATATGTTCGTTTTCTTTTTCAGTCTTTTTTTTTTCTTTGATTTTCACTTTTAGAGATTTCTTTGGTTATATTCTCAAGCTCAGAGAGTCTTTCCTCAGGTGTGTTCATTCAGTCTACTAATGAGCGCATCAAAAGCATTCTTCATTTGTGTTTTTGATTTCCAGCTTTTCTTTTTTATTCATTCTTAGAATTTCCATCTCTCTGCTTACATTATCCATTTGTTCCTGCATGTTGTCTATTTTTTTTTCATTAAAGCTCTTAACATGTTAATCACAATTTTTAAAAATTCTGGTTTATCATTTTAATGTTCATGCCATATCTTACTGTGGTTCTCATGCTTGTTCAGTCTCTTCAAACTGTTTTTGTCTTTTAGTATACAGTGTTACTTTTTGTTGAAAAGTTGACATAATGTACTGAGTGAAAGGAACTGTGGTACCTAAGTCTTTAGTAATGTAATGGTAAGATGTAGGGGAAGGAAAAGCATTCTGTAGTTTTATGATTAGGTCTCAGTCTTTTGGTGAGCCTATCCCCATGGACTGTGAACTTCAAGAGTGCTTCTTAGGGTTTTTCCCCTCTTTGGGTTGAACAGGGTGGCTAGAGGGAGCTGGAGTTGATATTTCCTTAGCACTCCTGAAAAGTGTAGTAAGGATATGGAGAATTCAGAACTCGCTCATATATTGTTAGTGGGGATGTAAAATGGTGCAGGTGGTTTGGAAAACAGTTTGGCAGTTCCTAAAAGTGTTACGCATGAGTACCATATGACCCAGCAATTCCACTCCCAGGTATATGCCCAAGAGAATTGAAAACATCTACACACAAAAATGTGTACACAAATATTTATAAGCAGCATTATTCACAAATTAGCCCAAAAATGTTAAACAACCCAAGTTTATCAGCTGATGAATGGATAAATAAAATATGGTATAGCCATACAATGTGGGGAACCTTGAAAACTTTATGCTAAGTGAAAGAAGCCAGACACAAAAAGCCACATAGTATATGATTTCATTTATATGAAATGTCCAGAATAACTATAACATAAACACAGAAAGTAGATTATTGGTTACCTGGGTCTAGGGATAGGGGTGAATGGGAAGTGACTGCTAAGGGATACTGAGTTTCTTTTTGGAGTGATAAAAATGTTCTAAAATCTATTATGGTCTTGGTCATAAAACCTTGTAAATATATGAAAACCACTGAATTCTATAGTATGTGAATTATGTCTAAAAATTAAGTAATTTAGGATGGTTTTTGATGTGAGTCCAGGGAATGTGAAGCATTGAGGCTAATAAGCAGGAGAGTCTGGGCAAGTTAGGTTTCAGTTGGTTGGAAAAGTTTGATAGAGCTGATGTAGCAGTTGGGAAATATCCTAAGAACATATAGAATAACTACTGAGATTATGGTTGGATAGCATAAATTTATAGTAGTGCTCTTTTTGTGTGTGATTTTTCTCCAGCACTATCTTGAGTTAAAACTCAGAGTTGATCTGTATCTGGAGTATAGAAAGATAGCAAGGCAAAGGAATTGAAAGTGTTGGCAAAAGAATATTTGAAATGTAGTCATAGAATCTAAGCTGGACAGAGAAGAGAAAATCAATGGTCAATGAATAGAGGTTTGCGTAGTTAAAGTTATCAGTTGTGGTAGAAGTAATTGAGCTGAAATAATAGGAAATAGTAGTCAAAGATTTTTGAATTTGAGGTTGGTATAGCCAAGTGACACAATTTTTAAAGAAATGGGGAGTTTCGCATAATGGTTGTAGTATGGGAAATGAGGGTAGAATCCCACCTCTCACCTCTGAGGTATATTGTTGGGGAAGGAATATCTCCAAGGAAGAGGACTTAATGAAGAAAGATTAATATATGTAAAGTAAAGAAAAGATACTTGGAAAGCTCCAACCCCAGAAAACAGAAATACAATTATGCTTCCTGCATTGTCCAACACATTGGGAATAACATAATCTCATGTTGAGATAATTTCTTTTGTCAGGAAAGGTCACTAGGACAGTCTTAGTTGAGGAACATTTCTTAAGCTCCACCTAATTTCCTTTGTTCTGGTCCTTTATTGACCAAAGCAATGTTCTGATTATGATTTGGCTCCGCATATTACTACAGGGATAGACCGTGTTGATTGGCCAATAAATATCTTATGTGCTTAATATAATTCTCATTACAGTTTTTATAATCGTCGTTAAAAGTCTTAAATTGGCACTGTTTTATGCATCCGTTTTTTTGTTTGTTTGTTTGTTTTCACTGAGTGGTTAGTGTTAAAGGGAATTTCTGGGTTTCCAAAGCTACTAGACCCCAGTTCAAAGTGTAAGCCCCAAGGTAATAGCAGTTTTTCAGCCCTCCCAGTAGAAGCTTTCACTGGATTAGTTCCTTCTGCAAGGAAACATCTGCATGGTATACCTATTTATGTAAACAGCAGTGGAGAACCAAACGTGTATATTGCCTTGCCTTTGTACATATTGCTCTTATTTCCCCTTCCAGAGCAGTATTCATTACATTTCTTAAGTGCTTTGCATAGAATTTCAAAGTTCAGTGTGACCTGTGTACTACTAGGACATTGTCAGGCATAGATGCTACACTGAGGGGCTTTTGGCAATCAGTGACTTGGTAGCTGTGATTGAGTTTGAATCACCCCTTCTTGGTCTGCATGAAAGCAGATTCTTGTAGGATCCCAGCCTTATTCTTGGGAATCATTTTATTTTCCAACTTACTGGATTAGTTTAGAGGCCTTTGGGTTTCAGTGGACCATTTCCTCATTTCCTTCTTTTGTTAATCTTGACCACTTAACCTTCCACCCACTTTATTACTCATTTTTTAGGGACCTAACTATTCAGTAACACTAAAGGAGGTATATCCGAAGCTACATAGATTAAGTAAAACAAGCTTAAGAGGGAAAAAAAGCAAAAAATGTGTGTTCTCTGAGCTTTCTTTGTTTATATGGTCTGTTCAGATGTTATTAAAGTTGTGTTGTCCAGCTGCCTCCCCATATTTCAGAAATGACTAGATATCTGGGAGACATTCAGAGAAGGGCGTGTTGGCATAGTGAATGAAATAACACTGTTCGTCCCCTGCCAAATAACATATCTTCTTTTGAGGTGTGGGAGGGACACCAGAAGCTTCAAATGCTGAATCTTGAGATTCTTGAAAGGCTATTTATTTCTAGGGAGACTTTTAGAAAGAAGCCAAATAAACGAGTCCTTTTAAGGGTTGGAGGGTATATACCTGGCTATTTGAATGTTTGTTCACGATACACAGTTCGACTGTATGCCATCTAATTGTTCCATTTTCTTTTAGTAAGATGAATGTTGGTTTAAGGTGATATTAGCAGCCTTTAAAGCCCAGGCTTTAATCTGATCTGTATATAATGTGAATTAAAATTTGTGTCAGGATTATTCTAGAAAACATCTAGAATGGAATTTTGCAGGATTTGTTAGAGCCCCCTGTTAAACCCCCTGACCTGAAGGAGTTGGAAGGGGTTAGCAAACATCCCAGCACATGCAATAAACTCCATATTGTGGTTGAGTAGAAGTTTCTCTCTATTCCTCCCATGCTTTATCCCCTATAATGGGTAGTAGATAAACAGAGATGCATTTTTTTTTTTTTTTTACATTAAGCTATTTATGGAACTTGGTCTGCTAAATAACAAATTTAGAAGTGAAAATAAGAAAAGTAAAAAGAAATAAATCATCGGTTCGGAAGTAAATTATTCTATTGAAAATTTAGAATATGATGTCAGTGTCATCTGCATTTTCTTTGTTATTTCCACTTCAGTAGGATAAACCATAGCTCTGCTTGGGCTACTAGGTTTTCCTTTTAATTGCTGGTTCACTAGGTCTCTAGCAGCAGCACCTGAAATAACTGCTCAGAGAGCTCCTACATGAATTCTCATAATTTGTTTCTCAACTCTCTCGGTTGATTGAGGCATTCTTTCTTGAGTAGTTTGCACTTCCACTTAAGTGGCTGATGTTTGGGGTCACTTTTGAATGTTTTGGTTGAATATCACTTTCATGATGAGCGGAAGGCTGCTACTTTTAGCTATATGGAGTAAAGCCCTTGGTGGTAAACCTTGGAAAGGAAAAAACTTTGCTTTGTAGTGATAAGCTAAATGAAATTACTCTCTCTGTCACTTTATCCTTTTATCCTTTCATGCTGATAACCTTGAGTTCTTGTGATTTGTTTTCTTCTATTAAGCTTAGTTGCTCTCTGTACCCAGATGCCTCCTATTTCTGCTGTTGGTCATCATAGTGATGTGGAGCATGTTTCTGACCTGGAAGTGTTGTTTCTTTAACTATGAACCACATCAGTATGCCTTCCATCCTCTGCTTCCTTTGCACTATTTCCTTTTGGAGGGCTCAGTTTGTCACCATTGAATCTGAGGATTCATCTGGGACTGAGAACTGGTAATGCTGTAATAACAATACCTTTCTTTATATAATAATACTCAGAGCACGTAAACCTTAGCCTTCCTCTGTTTATGAAGCACTTCCAGTTTAATTTTTCACAATAACCCTCTGGGTTAAGTCAGCAATTTTGTCTAAGATAGTGAGATTGCATCTTAAGGAGATTGAATAACTTGCTCTGGGTTGCAATGCTTCTGAGTTACTCTGCTTAATTTCTCAGGAAATGAAGTATACTTTTGAAGATATTCTGAAAAAACAAAAAAAGGAATTTTCCAAACTGTGAGTTGTTAAAAATCTAACTTTTTAGTCCGGTCATTGATTAAGACCAAGGTTGAAAGCCCATTCTTTAACCATAGAGTTTAAATTGATGTGTCCAAGTCACAAAAACTAATATTCAGGTCAGTTTCTCTTCTGCTGCTGATACAATAAAGTTAAGAAAGACTGGCTGTTAAATTAGTAGAACTTGAACTGGAAGTAATTAAGCCATTATTTTTTAATTCTCTCTTCTTTTTAGGGAGATGGAAACCTTGATGACTAGTTCCACCCTGCCTACCCTTTTTGCAGATGAAGATGGATCCAAGGAGAGTAATGATCTGGCTACCACTGGGTAAGCAGCTACTTTGGGACACTGGGCCTCGTCCTAGGCTTCAAAACAAAGTTTCTGACAAATTACGACATGCTAAAAAGGCAGTTTTATATCATAAGAATAGAAGATATAGTTGTTACGCTTTGCAAAGAGAGTGAGAGCCATTGTAAGGTGCTTTGTAATCAGCATTCAGCTGTCACTTGAAGCGCTCTGTCTCCTGTGAACTGGAACAGCAATATGTGGGGTCTAGCAAACATCAATGACTCCCAGTTAAAATAAGTACATGGTCACTATTAAAGAAATACCTGCCACAGGGTTAGCTCTGAAAATCAAGTTCATTTTGTTTGAATTGCCACAGATATTAAAATAATTTTTTTTCTAAAGGTCTGATTTTTTTTTTTTTAAGATCAGAATTTTTAATACGATTCTTTATTCAAGATGCCTAGGAGCTCTAGCTGACTTCTGTTCTTTTACTTTTTTCCCCTTGTGTTCCTTCTTTACTATATTTGGACAGATAAGCAAAGATAGTAAAGGCATATAAAAAAGGGCTAATAGCAATAATCCTTCCCTTAAAAATCTGTTATGCTTGAATTTTTATCTTTTCTGTTTAGAAATTATTTGCCAAAGAAGAAATGTGTTCACTATAGATTGAAGTGCTAGCTAATTCTTAAGATGTGTTATTTTAATATTATTTAGAGCTCTTTAAAAATAGACTCTACTTTGTAATTCTGTTTTCCTTCCTTCACTTTTGTTTCCTACCTCATTAATATCTGCCTCTTCCCTTACTCTTCAGATGAAACTGTTCTCCAAGACCTTTCAGAAGTTTGCCATTACTAAATCCAGTTCATTCAGTAAAAATTTTCTGAGTGTCTGCTATGTGCCAGACACTGTTCTAGGCACTAGATATTAAGCAACTAAAACAGACAGAACTCCCAGCCCCTGTAGAGCTCAAATTCTACCAGGGAAATCAGAAAAAAAAACAGGTTAAATAAGTAAAATACTATGTTGATAAGAACTATAGATTAAAAAAGGAAACAACAAGGGACTAGATCTGGCAGGATCTAAGAGATCAGAGTAAGCACTTGAACTGTTACTCTGAGAAAGGAAAGCATTGGAAGCTTTTGAGCCAAATGATATGATTTGACTTATTTTTTAATAGGATCCCCGTGACCATTATATTGAGAAAATAGAGTGAAGGGAGCAGGGGCTGAAGCAAGGAGGCCAGTTAGGCTCCTGAAATAATTAAGGTGAGAGATGATGACTTAAAAAACATCACTAGCGACTTTGACAAGAGTACTTTAAGTGGAGTCTTAGGGGTAAAAACCTCACTGGATTGGGTTTCAAAGATAGTGCCACTGGGGGTGGTGAGACATATAGAATTCTAGATATATTTTGAAGGTAAACCAAACTAGATTTGCCCAAAAGACGGGACAAGATGTAAGAAGGGAGAAAAAAGCCACTCCAAAGTTTTGGCCTAAGAGACCGAAGGGATGGAATTACCATTAACTTAGATGTTTAAAACAAAGCAGGTAGGGGAGGGGATTTTAGGAGCTTGGTTTTGTAGATTTGAAACTTGAGATGCTTGTTAGATATCCACACAGAGATGTCAAACAGGCAGATTGATACCAGGTTCTGGAGTTAGAGGAGGTCTACACTAGAAACTTGGGAGTCATCAGTATACATAAAGCCATAAAACTGGACAAGATCCTCAGAGAAATGAACACTGTAAATTAAAAAAAAGAAAAGAGAAAAGCTCTAATTCCTAAGCTCTGGGATGCTCCATCATTTAGAAGTCTGGCAGAAGAGGAACAGTCAGCAAAGAAAACTAAAGGGAATAGTTAAAAGGGTAGCAGAAAAACCAGGGGAGTGTGGGGTCTTGGAAACCAAGTGAAAAGGAAGGAAAAGACATAAACTGGGTCAAAACCTTACCTGGAAGATCAGGTAAGATGAGGACTAAGAAATTACACTGGACTTTGACAAGTTGTAAGCACATATTTCCTTTGGGTTAGGTTTAAGAGAGAATGAAAGGAGAAAAAATGAAGACAATAAGTTAATTCTTACCAGTATAAACAAATGAAGTCAATTAGTATAAACAGTTCTATAAAAGAAAGGAAAAAAATTAAGTGGGATCAAGAAAGTGTTTTTTGTTTTCATTTGTGTTGTTTTAAGAGTAATAATGCCACATTTGCATGCTGATTAGGCTAATCCAGTAGAGAAGGCAAAATTGGTGATGCCAGAAAGGGCAGAATTGCCAAAAACCTGTGTTTTAGTAGGCTAGCAGGTATGAAAGCCAGGGCACAAATGGTAGGGTTGTTGGCTTTAGCTAAGAGTACAGACAGTTCATTCACAGGAACAAAAGAACCTTTTTATGTCATCTCAAAGATATTTAATGCCTTTGACCACTCCTTTCTGATTCCTGTCTATTTCAGTCAGAGAATCATAGGATTGGTACTCTTTTCCCAAACCTACTTCTCATATATTACTGAAATAAGAATGTACAAGAGTTAGTAACTTAAAAATTGGTAGCACATTGAAATGAGACTGACAGTGAAAGAACAAGTTGCCTAAGACAGCCAAAATGATTGAAACATTGGAAAAACAAAGCTGCTGAGATCAAACTGGATTTCTGTTAGCTCCTCTTTTCAGAGAACATGATTGGCATTGAGCTCATAGATTCTCTTACCTTTTTCAAAGACCCTCAAAAATGTCGGAACCTATTGTTTACGATCATCTAATATGTTTTCTAGAAAGTTTTGGAAAAGTATACTTTAATTTTCAGGACAATCTACATCTGCTTTTATTCATTTCTCAGTCCTCTGTAATCTGGTTTTTATTTCCATTCCACTAAAACTGTACTCCCTAAAATCGCCAGCAAACTTTAGGTCTTCAAATTTAGCAGATATTTTTTTCACCTGTCTTATTTGGCATCTGCAGCTTTTTACTTAGTTAATTCCCACTTCTTAAAACCCTAAATCTCTTAATGTCCTCTCTCATCTATTCCTAGCTCTTCTAACACTTGTTCCTAAAATGATATTGTTCCAACAGAGTTCTGTCCTGACTTTTCTCACTATCTTTCTGGAGAATGTCTAGCACTTCCCGTTATTTCCGTGGGCTGATGCCTCAAATCTGTCTCATGCCTTTTCTTCACTGCTGTTCTCTCAGGGTATGTTTCCAGTTGTCTGTGGAACAGTTCCACTTTATTATGTCTCAAGTGTTTCAGACATACCATTTTATTCTTTTACACACATACACACACACACACTCATTCCAGTTGTTTCCTTGCTTCATAGTATATAATCATACAATCAGGAAACTTCAGAATACCTTTGACTCTTCTTTTCCTCTCACTATATTCAGTCATTAAGTTCTCTCCATTCTACCTCTTAAGTATCTCTTAGCTTTCTCTCCCCTATTCTCCATCCTGTCTGCCCTTGTCTCTCACTTCGTTTATTGCAATAGCCTCCTGATGGGGTTCATTTTCTCTTGTTATGTTCTTTCTGATTGTAATGATGTTTTTTACCTGGTGAATGCCTATCCATCTTTCAAGACCGCCTCTGTAAAATCTCTTAACATCCTATCCACACATATAAAATTTATCATACCCTCTACTGTGTTTTTATGGCACATTTTACAAACTTATATTTCAGTACTTATGTTACATTATAATTATGTGTCTATAACCCTATGAAGTATACATTCTTCCAGAATAAAACTAAATATTGCTTTCTTATGTATCTTCCTCCACTTCCCCCACACCTCTCCCCTGAAAAACCTCAAACACATGGCACATGATATTGCCTTTTCTTACATTCCTTCATCCACATGTGATAGGGTAAGTCAGTCTAAGACCTAGCCATCTTCTGTATCCTTGTTGAGATCCGGTCTGCTGACTGAGCTGGAACAAATGGTGGGATCAGAAAAGAAATATATCTGTCTGATTCTTTAACATTTATACTTGAACTTAATGAACTTGATAATATTGTTTTTAAATAATCTAGTTGTCAGTAGACACTATAATCCAAGAAAGAATAGCCTGTGGAATGAGATGTTTCTTATGCCCTTCAGGAACTCTCTATTTTGTGATGGGGACAAACAGCTTCTTCAATCCCCATTCCTATTCTCATTTTCTATAAATAGTATTTTCCCTTTACATTGTAGATACAGGAAAGGTAGCATATAAAAGTCAGATTCTATTGCATGCTCAGAACTAATGTGAAGTCTATGTTGAGGGAAGAGGTAATATTTTGGGAAAAGAATATTTTTGTTAGTAGGAGACTTCTTCATGGAACTGATCTGATTCAGTCAAGCACTGAAACCATTTTTTAAAATGCTCTATAAAAAAGTGCTGTGGAGACATTGTTTACATTTATACAGAATGAGGTGGGGGAATTAATTCAAGGGCTGGCGTGTACTTTTGCTGGCAGGGAAGTTTGTCTTGAACTTGGTAAGCAAGAGTGTTTGATGCTATTGATACTGAACTTTTACACTTCTGCTTTTTATTCTTCAGGTTAACCCACCCAGAGGTTCCATATAGTAGTGGAGCCACGTCATCCACCAACAATCCAGAATTTGTGGAGGATCTCTCCCAAGGTCAGTTGCTTCAGAATGAGTCTTCAAACACAGCAGAAGGCAATGAACAGAGGCATGAAGATGAGGTACGCTGAAGTGTCTCTTCCTGTTACTGGTTTCTGAAGCTTCTGAAGAAGCAGGCAGCAAGGGAGTTGATCGAGGTGTCCATCATCTGGCTTTCTTAAATTCGGCAGAATTTTCTGCTTTATATTTCTTACTTTATGTGGAATCATATTAATGGTTTTAATGACATAAAGACAGGTAGACTTTTTTTCCGCTGCCTAAGAGATTTATACCTACAGAAGAATATTAGATATTTAACAAATGCTTGTTGAATGAGTAAATGAATTATTTAATTAAATAAGTAATTAATGAGAAGTCCACATGCCCATGTTCAAGGCCACATACTGCTCACTAAGTCCTGTAGCATGGAGTTTTTATGTGCCCAAAGGATTCATGCTACTTACCAAATCATTCGACCATCCATGGGGGACATCTTTAAATAACACAGAAGTTGTGTATGGGCCTGGGAAGTCTTGTTCTTGTTGGACTTTCAGTGTTTCTCAAAAATGACTGATTTCCATTGTCTATGTTTTAAGGCACTCGTTTTTAGCCATAAAAGAGTACCACCATTGATTTTTAGCCTTTTTCTTATTTTAAAAGAGCTGATTTTTCTGTGTTGGCAATCTTAAAGGTTATGATGAATGCTTAAGGCTTCACAAACATCTTAAAATCCTTAGTAACTTTAACATTACTAGGTTCACAAAAAAAAAAAAAAAAGCCAAATATACCATTTGCCCTATGGTGAATTATTACACCATTTTATATATATTTGGAGGGGTGTAATACTGTAATTAATATTTAGGTGTTTTTTTGGTCCTATTTTGCTTATATTTCTCTTTTATGAAATAAGAATTCTTATATTCATAAAACATTATCAACTGAAGGCTGTATGTATTTGTAAAATTATGAAGCAAAAATATGTGTATCTCATTTAAAAGGACAAGGAAAAGGTTTGTAGTAAAACGTCAGGGTACCTCAGTCCTTTATTTAAACTTTTTTAGAGGTGATTTACTTTTGGATTTAACTATATAACATATAAAGACCTCTGACTTTATAAAATAAACATCTTAAGGAACAAATCACCAACCCAAAAACTAGACTTCATTTTGGATATGTTATGCTTATTGAAATTTTTCTAAGACTTAGATATTAATTTAACAATCTGTACTATCTCCTATGGGAAATAAACTGATCTTTGAGTAGTATCAATAAGAAGCACCCTTCATGAATGATTTTTTAATTCCTGTACTTCAACTTGTTTCTTCATTTGCCCAATGCATATGACATTTTGTTCTGATCTACTGTGACAATGTTTGCTTCTCTGGTACAGTGCTGTGTATGTGCTGTATTTCTCATTTAGAATACTCCCCTGTTGGGAGGCGGGACTTGTTAAGTGCATATGAAGGCCAAAGCTTGAGTGATTGTGACACTCCTTTATTCTTATTTCTTGGAGTTAGCACTAAAATATCCACTTAGTGCAACAGCTTGTAGTTTGGTACCTAAAAGGGTCTAAAAGTGAACCATCTAGAGTCCCCTCTTGAAAACTGCATTGCAGTTATTTGTACCTGTGAAAGATTTGGAGAGCTTTGAATACCCATTAATGACAGGAAAATGCAACTGTGATCCCATTTTGTTTGTTAGTATTTATTGTTTTGTTATTGGGGACATTTTTGTTATTGTAATTTGGTTTTGATTTTTATTTTGTAGCAAAGAAGTAAACGAGGAGGTTGGTCCAAAGGAAGAAAGAGGAAGAAACCTCTTCGAGACAGCAATGCACCCAAATCCCCCCTTACAGGATACGTTCGGTTCATGAACGAGCGTCGAGAACAACTTCGAGCAAAAAGACCAGAAGTCCCATTTCCAGAAATCACAAGGATGTTAGGCAATGAATGGAGTAAACTCCCTCCTGAGGAAAAACAGGTTGTTTCTATTCCTGATCCTTTGCTTGGTTTTGATTATATCTCAGAAATAATCTGCCAGAAAAGCAAAGAGGATGGACAGTTGATTCTTCTGTTTTGTCATAGTGCCTAGGAGACGAGAATAGCAGGATCCTTCATTGCACTTTTCCTTAGCACAGTGGTTTTTATACTCTTTCAGGGTCTGCTGCAGGGGTGTGAGCAGGAGGGGCCCTCAACCAAAGCAGCACTGCTCTTATTTGATTTATATGCTGAGAAGTCACATAAGATTTTTTTAAGTGGTTCCATACTAAGAAATTAAGAAATCTGTCAACTTAATTCATTCCACCGAGTTAAATAAAAGTCATGAGTTAAATGAAAAGAGGTCATTTGATAAAATTCTGTTCACATAAGATTTTTGTTTAAGAAAGATTTTACTGCTTTAATAAAATTTTTAAACTAAAGTTTTGGCACATTTAACCTATTATGGAAAATAACGCAAGAACTACTTAAATTCTTTCTCTTCTAAAACAGAAACTAACTCTATTGCCAGACTGAAACAAATCTATTCGTTACAGATTTGATAGAAATTAAGGACAAGATAGCCATGAACTGGTTGAAATGGCACTAACATGGAGTGATGGTTGTGGGAGTGTCTTTTAGTTAAAAGTTCCCAGCATTCTCAGCATCTGAAAGATATCTATGTTTCTTTTATGTCTTATACTCTTTCATGACTTACACTCTTTAAAAAGGATTCCAAACAGACTGAAACCAAATTGAAAAATACTTTTGGGAAGTAACTGAATTCAAAAAGTTTCAGAGAGATCAGATTAAGTTGCAACTTGAAGCTCTGTGTTTGTGGTAGCAAGCTAATAGAAAGCAGTGTGTGTCATCCATTGTTTTAGCTCTAATGTATAAAGGGATAGTGAGCTGTACATACTAGGTTACTCTTAATTTTTTTTATTTCAAAATTAATGCATGCTCATTGTTTAAAATTTTTTCAGACAATACAGAATGTATAAAGAAAAAAGTAACAGTAGTTATCTCCAGGGATAACCACTGTTAGGTATAAAGGACAAGGGTTTGCACGCTTATTTTTTTTTTAATGTTTATTTGAATATAATTTCAAATGTACAAAAAGTCACAAACATAGAATTTTACAAAGAACACCCAAATACTTTTTACCCAGATTCATCTTTTGTTAACACATTTTATCCCATTTCTCCCTTTGCATATGTGTTCATACTCATATTTTCATATACTCATATACTCATATGTGCTCATATATTTTGTTTTTGTGGTTAACAAAACTGCTTTAATTTGGAAAAGGTCCAAGTGCATGTGCTCTCTCTCGCACTCACTCTCTCTCACCCTCTCACTCTCTCACTATATACACACACACTATTTTTTTCAGAATCATTTGAGGATGTTACATACATCATGGCCCTAAATATTTCAGTGTATTTCCTAAGAATAGACATATTCTCTTACATAACCATAGTACAGTTATTAACTTTATAATTTTATATTAACACAATACTTTTGTCTACCTACCATCAGTATTCCAGTTGACCTAACATCATTCTGTAAATTCTGCCCCCACCCGCCCCCACACACACACACAGTTTAGATTCCAGTCTAAGGTCAAGTTTTGTGTGTAGTAGTCAAATCTCTAGATTCCTTTAATTTGGAATATTTCCACAACCTTTCTATGTCTTTAATGATATTGATATTTAAAAAAAAATACAATCCCTCCCCCTTCCTCCTTTTTGTTTACTTTTAACATAACATTTCTCGTTTTGTATTTGATGTTTCCTTGTGATTATATTAAGGGTATGCATCTTGATGAAGATACTGCATAGGTGGTGTTGTGTCCTTCTTAGGGTATCGCAATGTCCCTTTATTCCTCATTAGTAATGTTAATTTTGCTCACTCAATAAAGTTTTTTCTATTCTCCCTTATAATTAATAAGCAATCTTTGGAGAGATGTTTTAAGGATATGATAATAGTCTATTCATATCAAAATTCCCCCCTAGATTTAGCATTCATTGATGACTTTTGCCTGATCTAATCTTTACCATGATGATTGAAAAATGATGATTTTCTAGCTCTAGCACTCCCTCCACATTTACCAGCTGGCCCTCAACATTCTAATATAAGCAAGGGCCCTCCTCTCTCCCCATTTATGTGTTTATTTGCTTATTTATTTATTATAGGTATGGGCATATGGGTTTTTTCTCTCAAATGGTTTTTAATTTATTATTGTACTTAAGTATTTTAGTACTTAAATTCTCTCACATCTGGCCAGTTGTGTCTCCCCTACATCTGGTTCTTGTGTGAGACAAGGCTTTTAATATATTTCTGACTAACTTGTATTCATTTAGAAGCAGTATTTTTATGCTTTATTTTTTAAACCTAATTGATGAATTAAAGGGACAAAGCAATAAACAAAATTATGCTGGTGTATCAGTGAACCTTGTTTAAATAATTAATAACACAAAGCATGTAGATAGATATAAGCTATCTCATATTTTAGGTCCATAGGATGTGGTCATTCTTTTTTATGTTCTTTATGTCTTCCGGTTTTAGTGCTCCATTCTTCAGGCTCTTAAAAGGCCAATTGATATATGAGTTCATTCCCTCAGAATAGGTTGGGAATTAGAGAAACTAAGTATTATTTTATCCTTTTCCGTGGGAGGACTAAGTGTATCTATGTGGTATTCAGCCATCTTGAGGACTCTAACAGCCATGTGGAATTCTATCTATAGAATTAGAGAAATAACTATAATCATCTTCTTGTGAATTTTTTATGAGAATGATCTCAATAGAATTTGTCTTTATTAAGTCAGAAAAGGTAATAAATAGTATATAAAAAGTCAGTATCACCTATTTCTTTTATAATTTGGGGATTATACTTTATTCTATTCATATGGCTTTTTTAAATTCTCCCTTAAAGCTTATTCCTCATATACTTTTCTTTTCGTGTTCTAATTGTCCTCTGTTTTTTTCAAATAGCTCATTGATATTTAACCTAAATAAGATCTGTTTCTTGAAAATAATTCCACATTTCTTTTCTAGCGCTACCTTGATGAAGCAGACAGAGATAAAGAGCGTTACATGAAGGAACTGGAGCAATATCAGAAAACTGAGGCCTATAAGGTTTTCAGTAGGAAAACCCAGGACCGTCAGAAAGGCAAATCTCATAGGCAAGGTATCAGAACCAAATGTATTTGTAGTTTGTTGTGTGTGACAAATGTCTCAAAGGCTCCTATTAGAGTGATATAGAAGATATGTTCTTATCATTTCTCTATTATACTACGTTTACATCTATGCGTTGTCTTGGAATTTTATTAAAATCCCATTGCTCTCGTTTAGAAATTCCAGCTGGTTTCTATATCCAATATCAACAATTTGGCTTATGTTCCAAGACTCCTTTTAGTTGTCTATGCTTTTTTTCGAATTCCCAGTTTAGGCATTTCTCTGCCTCTAAACAACTCTGTCTACTAAACCACGTAACTGCCTTGCTTTAACTAAAACCTCTAAGCCTTTCACGTGCCATTTCTCCCAACCTCCAGTAATCACCCTTTTCATTCATATATGCATTCAGATATGTGTGCATTTAAAGATATGTATTGAGCACCTCCTATTACATATCAGGCTTTTACTGAGGCTTTAAGGATGCAGCATTGAACAAAATAGACAAGATTTCGGTCCTCATGATTCTTTTATTCTTCATTAAAATCGTTTCTCTCACCCTTACAAGACTTGCTTTAAGTTCCCCTTCTTCAGGAAACACTGCAAAGACACCTCACTCACAACTAATCTATTGTTCCTTGTCCATTGCATCTTTTCACACTTGGGCATCTTCCCTGCTAAACTATAATGTGCAAACAGCTTTTGGCATATGTTTCCTGTCCACCCTCCCACCCTATTCTCCTCAATGATAAAACTGTGTCTGCTGTTTCTCTTCTGTCTAATCGTGTAACCTATAAATACAGGGTTCCCTTTAACTTTTGCTGACTGACTGATTAATAAAGCCATGAGAGAAAACATCATATGTTGTGATAGCCAACAGTTTTTGTGGTTTGGCACAGTTGTTTGCTTGGGTTTTGTTATTGTTGTGTTTTATTTTTCAACTTAATGTTTCCTTATTTTTCCATATATTTAGATGCAGCCAGACAGGCCACTCATGATCATGAGGTAATTAGCTTTCTGTCTACATACTATATATGTATATTTTTTCATTATTATTATTAAAATGTTATTTAAAATACTGTTTTTAATGAATGACAGAGTATTTACTATCCCATAATTCCGATTGGGTGAGTTGCTTTAGCTCAAGGATTCTTAGCATATAATAGACATTTATATCATGATTCTGTCCTTGACTCCAGTCTTTTCTTGTCCAAGAATTTTATTGGCTTTAAATGCTGAAGATGGCTAGAATTTGGAGTGAGAGACAGAAATTAGGATCAGCTGAAAGCTATTGGACCATAGTTTATCATCATCAAATACCTTACTCTGACTCTTAAAAAAACAGTTGTAAATTTTAGGGAGCCCAGCATTTGGTTATTCAATTACAATGTCGACAGCGCAAGTGACAATATCTTGGTTCCTGTGCCTCCTTTCATGTTTGTTCACTGGCCTTTTCTCCTCTATTTGGTTCAGCCTCATCAATAGGATTTGGGCCTGTGTTCCAATGTGTGTTGGCTTTGCTACATAAGAGCTTTAAATATTTAGGTAGCCTATGGTTAATGTAGCCATACTCCACTTAATGACAGGAATATGCCCTGAAAAATGTGTCGTTAGGTGATTTTATCATTGTGCAAACATAGAGTACGTTTACACAAACATGATGGTTTAGCCTACTACACACCTAGGCCTACTACACACCTCTGTCATACATGTGATCCATTGCTTACTGAAACAGTATTATGTGGCACATGACTATATATGGTTGTAAGAAAATAAAATTTGTTGTAATTCCATGTCTTAAAATGCTCAGCGATTCCTCATTGCTTACCACATTCAAACTCAGCAATCAGGATCTTCTGAAATTAAGTCCTAATTTCCCTTTTCAAATACCTTAGCTCTCATATTTCCCATATATATCTTCTGTACTTAAAAACCTATACTGCTCACTGTCCTTCAGGTGCCCCGTCCTTCTCTGCCTCATGCCTATGCTCATACTCTTTTATTCCTGGGTATACTTTCACTCTCTTGCCCGTATTTTCCACCTCTGCATCATCCCATTCTGCCTCTCAAAATTCTAGTCACCCTTCAAACCCTATTTCACTTTCTCCTTCAAGCTTGTCCTGTTTCCTCCAGTTTCCTTTAACCCTCACAGCTCTCTATATTTCTCTTAGGCACTTAATCTGGCTTGGTGTTGAGGTTATTCAAGTGCTTCTATTATTCAAACTCTTGGATTATAACCTCTTTGAAGACATACATGGTCTAGTTTCCATCTTGTACCCAGCTTCATACAAGCTAGCATGACACCCTTGCATGGAGATTTTCCATAAATTTATTTTTATGCAAAACCCATTTGTTGAAATAACTGGAGATTTATACAGAAAGAATTTTCTGATGTATTCTTTTACATGTATTTGTTTTTTTACTAAATCAAGGAAATTATTTCATTAAAATAATAACTTATTTATCTTGAGGTTGTAGTTCTCATACCTAATTTGAACATTGAGAAAACATTTAGATTCACTAGTCAAACATATTTATTACCATTCATGAATTATAAAGTGAAAAGCATGGTAAATATTAGCATTTTATTTTTTATGTAAATCCAGTATAAATGTAGTTATATATGACATCTCTGTGCTCTAACTAGGATGAAATAGTATGGATTTTTTTTTTTTTTTTTGCTTGAGAAGATGTATATATGCTTTATGTTTTAAATCATAATTGAATAGTGTTGGCAAGCTTTCCATATTGCAAATACTTGTATAATTACTTATTTCTCCCTTCTGTATGCCCAACCATCAATGTCATGAAATTTCTGTACTTCTTTTTTTCCTATTATACATTCTTTATAGCTTCTTCATCCTTAATGGTTTCAAAAGAGAATTTGGACAGCAATCTAAAATATTAGATCTCACATTTTCTAGTCAATCACTGACTCTTCATCACTATGGATTTTGCTGGCCAAACCATACCTGGCATTTTGGTCTTCAGTAAAGTTGATAGTTGTAGTCAGAAAAGATTTAATAGATTTAGTCAATTATAGGAGTTAACCATTGATGATTTGAAAAATGAAGCTTTTTATTAAAACGCGTTATTTAATGTGATAGGAATTTCCGTGATTTATGAAAAGGAATAAGTCTATGTGATTTCCCTGATTGAGGATTAGACACATGTTAATCCAAACAAAAACAATGGAAGGAATAGGTGAAGAGCCAGAGTAGTTTCTCAAATGTGTATACAGTCTGCTCTATAAATCTGTCTGTTACATGCCTATATCAGGATAAAGCTCTCAGTAAGGTTATTGACCCAATTAAAGTCCCTCACTTTATCAGTTTTATTTTCTATAGAATAATATCTCTACTAAACTAGATAATTTCAAACCAATTGCAATAAAAAACTAATTAGTTATTAAATATAGTTACATAGTGATTTCCTTACATATAACCTCTTAGTATAATAGGAGTTCAGAAAAACAAGCAAGCAGTATGAGTGAAAAGCAGCCACAGTTGGGCCCCA